ACTTCAGGTGTATGAAGCGGTTGTGGGCGCCGCCATCGGTGATGACGAGGAGCGGCCACTGGCGCGCCCTGGCGGGGGCGGCGCTGGAAGTATTCTGTGGGCCGCGGGGTCGCCGCTGCTGAGCGCTGCCGCTTCTTCGACCGTCCTGCCCGTCCTATTGTACCGGCGGGCCGGCGGGGCGGACTGGGATTTCGTGCTTTTGTTCGCCTTTGCCAGGCTAATTCCACCTCTGAACCCCCCTTCCTCCTGCCCGCTCTCCAGCCCTCCCCTCTTTCTCTCCTTTCCTCCCTCCTTACCATACCGCGGCGGTGAACACATGCCTCCGCCCACCCAAATGTCTTCGGTTACGGCAGAAGAGATCTCTTGACAAAATGACAATTCACTGAACTGCAAGCGCCCCCATCTTTGACCGCGGGCATCGTGCAGGAGGTCAGCATGGCGGAGGCAAGGAGGCACACCTGGCCGCAGGGCACCGCAAAAGGCACCACGGCGAACGTACTGTATGAAAGGTGTCCCCAAAAAACAGAAAATAAAACATGCTTGAAATTACTCACCCAAAGAGAACAATTTAGTTGGTAAAACTCTACCAGGGTTGTAAGAAACAAAATTTATTTTATCAAAACTACTAAAATTTAGTTATCCCTTTTTTAAAAGTAAATATGGTTGCACCAATGAAATTTAGTGAGCTAGACTAAACTATTTCATAGTCACGGGTAAATTTCGGTCTCCTGAGCTAAAATTTCATCGGTTTTGAATTTGGTCCTCTGGACTAAACGGTCTTTTGAGTGCTTTTTTTTAGTGTAGAGCGCGTCATGAAGCCTATCTCAATATACAAAAGGAAACTTGTGTGTGGTGAAGGCAAGCCGTTACAAAGGGCCTGTGGCTCATTGTTACGCATTACAGCATTTGGACGCCCCGCAGGTGCACGCGGGGCTCGGGCTTGGAGCGTAGAAGGTATGGGGCAGGAAGGGGGGTGGGGTGAACGCGGCACAACCCACCTCACGCAAGCTGAGAAGCAACAAGCTACCACGTTCTTCTGTTCGTAACCACCCACTCATGTCGCCACACCTTGCCCGAAAACGAATGAAAGTAGCCAGTAATCTTGCAATACTGAACTGTTCCGTATATTTTATTCGCCCCCCCCCCTTTTCCGTGTTCATTCTCCACTCGAACACTCACTCTTGTCGGCCTCTGCCTGCTTTTCATGGTCTTGTTGTCATCGCATCCAGCTCATCACGCAGCACGTTTTCGATCCAATACTTGAATATTTTCTTTTCTTTCTGCCGCAGTATGCACCTGCTGACCGTCCTGCTGGCCGCTCTGGCCGTGGCCGCCTGCGCTGCTGAGTCGTCGGTTGGTTTCCTCGAGGAAGAGAAGCGAGCGCCTAGCATGGGCTTCAGCGGTATGCGGGGCAAGAAAGACGATATCCTGGACAGTTTCGACAAACGGTCGAGGAACAGCCTCGGCTTCAGCGGCATGCGGGGAAAGAAGAGTGACGACCTCGAGGAGGATACGACCGATGACGGAGGAGTCGAGAAGCGTTCCAGAAACAATCTGGGATTCAGCGGCATGAGAGGCAAAAAGGATGACTATGAAGAGGGCGACGGCGATGTAGGCGTCCAGGACAAGCGCGCCCGCAACAACCTGGGCTTCAGCGGCATGCGGGGCAAGAAGCAGGACAGCACTGTCGAGGATCTCGACGACGAGGTCCTGCTCGGCGAGGATGGGTTCGAGAAGCGGGCCCGGAACGCCCTCGGCTTCAGCGGGATGCGGGGAAAGAAAGCCTCGTCCTCGGACGAGTTCGTGATGGACGACCTTGTGGACAAGCGGGCGAGCGGTGGCAGGAACTCGTTGGGCTTCAGTGGGATGCGCGGCAAAAAGGCCCTTATCGACGAGATGGACGCCTACCTGGCCAAGCGGGCTCGGGGCAACGCGGGCTTCGTGGGCATGCGCGGTCGGCGCGAGAACAACCAGGTGGGTTTCGGTGCATAAAACCGGTCATGAGTAAGTAGTTTGTTTCACACCCACCACGTGACTCGTCGCAGGCTTTCTTCGGCATGCGGGGCAAGCGAGGCGACGGCTACGACGAGGATGCTGTGTTCGGGTACCTCCAATCTCCAGACGCTGCACGCAACGGCGTGGTCACCTTCCGCAGCAAGAGGTATCTCCCGTCGCATTGGCAGCTGCGGAACTCGAAGAAAGCGCCGTTCTCTGGATTCATCGGGCTCCGAGGAAAGAAAAGTTATATGCCGGCCGTGTCAAGTAAGTATATACTGAAATAATTATTTAAGACTTAACACAAAATTGTGCATCTTTGTGGTAACGGCAAAGGTTTGAGTTAACTCAAAGTCAATTGACATTAATTTTTTTGTTCAAACTATACGTAACGACGAACGACGCACAAAGCCTGTAAACGTAGAGAAAGGTAGTACCAAGTAATTTCTGTTATGGGCCAATTAAGACCGAATGTCACAAGTTTCAGGAGAGCTCAAATGAAGATATTACTTTGTTTTATAACAAGAGTGGCATTACGCAGTGTGTCGTCAGGTTACAACTATTTTTAACATCAAAGCTACGAAGTTCACAGAAATTTCTATTTTTATTTTGATGGTCATATTATGTGGTGACCGCCACAACGGACTGTTATTAGAAATCGGTTTTTGCGTTTGTAAAGTTCTCTGAAATTCATGGTCTACAAACCGATGTAGTAGACATCGCATATAATTCAATACTAGGATTCACAATTAAATCTTGCAAGATGTGCACAGACGTATCATCTTGCAATGAACAAGAATTTTCCCTTGTTGCCATGTAGAGTGTAGATGCTACATTAGCTAGCCTTGTCACTAGGTGCGCTACATCGCCTTATCTGAGGCATTGGGTGTTCTACATTGCTTTAAGTTAGGCACTAGTGCTCTACATTTCTTGGGTAATGGTACATACCTTGCCCTACGTTAGCTACAGCATCAGTCTCACTCTTTGGTTTTACAATGTAAACGTGTGTTATGTGAAATCTTCTTTTGTTTGACGGCGTTATTTAACAGTAAATCGTATTTATTTGAAAAAGAACTATTGATGAAAGCAACGAGCAACAAAGGTTCAGGTGGGATGTTCGCTGTGAGGCGTTAAGCCATGACCTTTCCTAATCTCTTCCGTTCCGTTAACTGAGCATCAGCGCGCTGCTGGTTCGCAGGCGCCCCACGCTTCAGCTGGGCTCGTCGCAGCTGGACAAACAGACTTACCGTTTATTTAGACCCCTGCGCCTCCGCCCGCTCGAGGAAATAGGCTTTCAAATTGCCGTTCCTTCAGCCAAGTACTTGTTTGTCCTCCAGGGTGCCTGCCTGGCTTGCTGGATGCTAATCAGAAGGCCCGCCTTTGTCATCTTCTCTCTTAGTCACGCACATTGAGAAAAATGCCCCTAAACCAGGATACGCAGTCAAGGAGGGATACTTACACTGTAACAAATGACAAGTCGAATCGACGTCGAAACGACATCGAGGCGATGGAAAACTGGTCGAAACGACATATTTTTGAAATGCATTTGGGATGGGGTATTAGAGACCTGCAACGAGTGAGCTACGCGAGCAACGCGAGCATTGCGAGCAACGCGCTAGAGCCGCGCGCTGCAAGCTGTTTTGCTCGTAGAGTCGCGCGCCTCCTTGGCGGAGACAGCCTAGCTTTTCGGAGGTCCACCTCGTGCGAGCGAATAGTAGCCACGAGCTAAATAGTTCGCGCGAGACGAGTAGAGCTAAGCAGAGCCGAGCAAGGAAATCGCGCGGTCTACGAGCAAAGTAGCTCGCAGTGCGCGGCTCTAGCGCGTTGCTCGCGTAGCTTACTCGTTGCAGGTCTCTAGGTACTATCACCAGACGTGCCCTTTTTCTTGTATTGTCTCCTCTTTTTTCAGGTTTTCGAGCTGCAAGTGACCAGTAATAGACGGGACAATGAAGCGTTGTTTGGTTCGGAAGTAAAATTAACCCATTATGTACAATGGTTGCGAAGTTCACTGAAATTTCTATTTTAATTTTGCTGGTCGTAACTTGTGGTAATCACCACAACGGACTGTTACTTTATTATTAGAAATAGGTTTTTGAGTTTTCAAAGTTATCTGAAATCAGAGTCTACAAACCGATGTTGTAGACTCCACATACTAATGAATCGGTTTTCACCCCCTTCTCATTTTTTAAAATCATAAGCCCCTTCTCTTATATCGAGAGTGATCGGTTTCTTCACGAATTTTGTGTATCTGTATAGGTCCACTCTTCAAAGCGGTTAATGCAAAAACGATATTGTGCTGAACGTAACTAGGATTGACGTGGGGTAAAAACTAAAAAATATGCAACAAACAATTGAATTTACAATTCAACATTTATCAGAATGTATGGGTTATGTACAAGGTTATGTATATTTCCTTTATAAATATGTACGTTTTATGACATTGGTGTTTGCCTTGGGAAATTGTACCGGTTTTCATTTGTTATGTGGCGGGATGAAACCAAAAGTCTGGAGTGAATGATTAGAGAAAGCCATATCTTCATTGATTTGCTACATTAGATTTAGGGTAGCAGATGTGGACTACCGTCCAGTTTAAGATAAGGCTTAACTGAAATTTTGTAAAGCCTGCTGTTGGTAAACTATAACAAAAAACATCCTGCATTTGATCAAATTATTTTTGAAAATATCCTTGGCTCGGTCTGTGTTAATAAATTGCAGAGCTCTCTAGACAACAAAGTTTGTAACCACTTGATAAATTTTGAGAAGGTCTGGCAGTTTTGATGTAACATTGAGCTACCAGTTGCACAGCTAGTAGGTTACACTATGGAGGCGCTTCTCACAGTTCATTTGCAATGTTGGTTTCTAGTCAAGCCTCATCTTAACACCACATATCTTGCATCATATTTATTGTTTTGTATAGGAAATGAAACTAACGAACATTTTTCCATGTCAGATTCATTTATTTGCGTGCACCACCATCGTGTTGTATGCATGTATCTATGTAATTTATAAAGTTTTAAAAGAATAAAACTA